CAAAAAAAATCGTTTCTCATATTGTACGTAGTATGTTGTGGCACGTCAGACAAACGGAACTCACTCAGCTTATGCTGTCGCCGGAGCAACAGCGCTGGTTTTCAGTGCGCCCGAACGGATAGTAACGTACGGACGTCCGCGTTTGACACATAATATTTTAAAACCAATCTGTCTAACTATGCTGAAATTATTGATTTCAAACCAAAGGTATGTACATGTGCTTATTTGTTGTGCAAAGCCAACGACGACCGGCAATAACAGCCACCCAAGTTCATAGGGCGCCCAAGCGCTCAAAATAACTCGAGGTTTATATCAATATCGAAGCACTTCTTTCGTCGTTTTCTCTAATAGTCCACACGCGCAGACATTTAATTCACAAAATCACATCACTTTTACGAGTAAAAATCCACTTCAAACCATTATGACAAAACAGGAGCGACAATCCGTCTACGGCCAAGTTCCCGCCAAAACTCCTCAAAATGTTACCTTTTTTATTAACTGGCTTTACGGCTCTGGGTTCTAGCCCTTCTGAGGCTATCGTTTCTTTCGGAATTTTCATTTTTATATTCTTTTTCTTCACAATATGCTGATGCGTCACATTGCGTAGCCCTTGGGAGATTTTGACGACAGCTCAACCCAGCGGACAGTTGATGACGACAGCCACTCAAGTTCATAAGGCGCCCAACCGATCAAAATAACATGAGATTTATATCGACATCATAGCACTTGTTTCGTCGTTTTCTCTTATATTGCACACTTTCAAAATCCACTTCAAACCATTATTCAAGCGACAAAATAGGAGCGACCATCCGTCTTTGCCCAAATTCCCGCCAAAAAAAACCCTAAAACTAACAGCTAAGTTCCAGGCACAGAGTACATTGTATGTATAAGAAATAGAGGCCAAACTTCAAAGCTAAAATTGGAAATGCATTACTAGCGCCCTTAGGCTTTGAAGTTTTTTCGCAAAGGTAGCGTGAAGGTCCTTCATGAAGAGCATCTGTTCCTCCTGTCGGCGGGCCTGTTCCTCTTGTCCGCTCTGCAGCTGCTCTTTCAACTGACGGACCTGTTCCTCCTGTCCGCTCTGCAGCTGCTCTTTCAACTGACGGACCTGTTCCTCCTGTCGGCGAGCCTGCTCCTCCTGTCGGCGAGCCTGCTCCTGCAGCATCAACATCAGAGCACCTAAGTCAGGTGCTGCAGATGTAGGAGCTACCGACGGGCCTGCAGCCGGTGGCTGGCCCTCCGACGTCTGCGGCGTTGCACCACTAAATCTTCGTTGGTCCGTCTCCTGCTGGCGTTGACTTCGGGTACGGACACCCTCCGATTCCTCCTTAGGTAAAATCGGCATTATTTTATCCCACTTCTGACACCAATTATTACGAGCTTGAGGTTCGTGACGATAAAATTACCTAAATTAACACTTTAATTTACTTTACACAAATTAAAACTTAAAAACACTAATAATTAAACACACTAATTCACTTTATTCCGCTCCGAAGCTTCGCTTCTCGCCAAATCCAATACTGCTCCGATCGCATCTTGCAGCGCCTATATATACAAATTAGCAATAAAGCATCCGGAATATTCAAGTAAATGCGCGCAAGGCGACGAGTGTTCGAGTGTAGATTTTCTAGAAACTTAGTTCTTCGGATGGCGCTGTCGGTTGAAAGATTTGTGATGTCATTTTCTGCAAAGCTCCCCCTCGCTCTCGTTCCTGACACTAGATGGCGCTGGTGTATGACGTTGACTTATTCACGCAACAATATAATAAAAGTTGTTTACATTACTTGTTATCAAAACGACATTCTATACAAATATACTAAGAGTTATAAATATGCTACACAACTATATTAATAGACGTTTTAACCGTTTTGTCGGTAATTTTATTATTAATACAAAAACAATATTCTTTATTACTTCGTTTCTTAGCGTTGTTAGGCCGTCGCGAACAATAATAATAATAATAATAAAAAGGCGTAGGGAATTGACGACCCCATCGCCCGCTGACGTAACAGTTAAGTGACAAAACTGCTACGTCAACGCAGTCAGTCAGCGCCTTGCGAGAGATGTGAGCGCCGTGCCGCGGCAGAATTTAGGGTGCAGAGGCCCGTTTGTGCTTATGGCTACACACGAAACGGTGCCGGGCCTGGGCGTCTCCCGTTAATGGACGCCCAAATAATGGATGATGGATAAAAAGATAGTGCGCAAAGGGCCGCTGCCTGGGGGGTCGCCGGGGCGCGTCTGGAGCTGGCGCTGGACGCGGCAGCATGCGGGCCACCAGCCGAGCGCGAGGAGCTGCACGGTCACCTACCAGCCCTCCGCATCCATCATCCCCACCAGAAGGCTTGGTGTCGGCTGGATCTTCTCGGACTCAGCAAGCGGCACCCGCCGCTGGTGGAGCACGTCGCATGCGTTGGTCACAAGAAATGAATGCAAACGCACTGCGGGCGTACTTTAGGGCAAAAGGGGAAGAAACTGGATGTTTGGCGTATCGGGCTAGGATGCATCGTCTTTTTGCTGAGCTGGAGCCATCTTTAATCGTCACAGAGCAAAACCTGGCAGACCGAGTTCGGTATATCTTGCGCTCAAATATATTTGATGTCGCCGAACTCGAACGGCTACGACATGAGGCTGTTCCCTCCTCGGATGAGAATGCTACGGCTGAGGATGCAGCGCCACAAATGGTAGAGCAACCCGCAAACGTGGATGCCGCCGTGAATACCCCAGTTGTGGTTGATTCAAACGATGATGGAACTGGAATTAGAGCATATGAGGAGTATATTGGACGAGGCGATTGTGGAAACGCGCAGTACGCCTCTCGAAAATCGACCGCGACTTCCCCCGCATAGCCCTAAGCAAGCGGAATCGGGCTATCGTGAGGGCTCTCAACCCAATGCTGGTTACCTATTTGGAAGCCAGCCGGGACCTTTGCGAGACGGACTTAATTTTTTTGGCGCCGCGCTGGCAGTCTGCCGTATCATAGGCGCCAAGGTTTCCACGGCTGGACGCGCTACTGGCTATAGTAGCGCTATCCCAGCATGGAGAAGAAGAATTGAGGAACGTATCGCAAAGGCTAGAGCTCTCATCGGCAGACTGATATGCTTCAGATCAGGCAACAACAGGCCAAGAATTGTGCGCACCGTCAGGATGGCGTTTGCTGGGACAAATGTCAGTTTGTCCCAGCCGGATATAACGCAAAAACTGACGGAGCGCATAGATGATCTGAAGCAGAGAATCGCTGCTTGGGGAAAGCGGATTCGGCGATATACCGAGAGGTCGACACGGTTCAACCAGAATCGTCTCTTCCAGAGCGATCAGAAGAGGCTCTATGAATCATTGGAGCGACCAATGGTAAGTGGAACGGGTCCAGCACCGAATCAGGCCGACACTGTAGCATTCTGGCGCGGCCTGTGGTCAGAGCAGGTAAACCACAGCGAGGGCCCTTGGACGGAAGTTGTGGCGAGTCAGTGTGTGGGTATTACGCCCATGGACCCCGTCATCATAACGCCGGATGACGTAGCTGAGGCGGTCCGTAGGGCCCCGAACTGGAAAAAGTCCGGGGCTTGACGGGCTGCATCACTACTGGCTGAAGGGGTTCATGGTGTGTCACTCTGTGCTCGCCCGACAGTTTCAAGAGGCTCTCAACCAGAAGTCGCTCCCAAGCCTCTTCACTACTGGGATCACTCATTTGGTTCCTAAAGACCAGGGTACCACAGACCCGAGCAAATACCGCCCCATCACGTGTCTACCGACCATATACAAGACACTAACATCCATTTTGAGCGCGAGAATCACTTGTCACCTGGACTCAAATCAGGTGATGTCGCGCGCTCAAAATGGATGTCGGGGCGGTGGTCGTGGAACCAAGGAACCACTCCTCATTGACGCGGTCATTGGCAAAGTGGTGAAACGCAACCGTCGGAACTTCTCCGCCGCCTGGATAGACTACAGAAAGGCATTCGACTCGGTGCCCCATACATGGCTAAAGAGAGTCCTCGAGCTGTACAAGATAGACTGTACAGTTAGAGACTTCCTCGAGCAGTGTGTGGGGCAGTGGAGTACGATCCTTTGTCATCTGGTCGAGCGGATGATGGCTGCGGAGAACCACATAAGGATAAGAAGGGGTATCTTCCAGGGCGATTGTCTGAGTCCAATCTGGTTCTGCCTCACTCTGAACCCTCTCAGTACCTTACTGGAGGGCTCCGGGAGGGGGATTTCAGCTACGGAAAGGAGGGACAAAAGTGACCCACCTTTTCTATATGGATGACCTCAAGTTATTCGCCTCCAATCGCTCCCATCTTATGGAATTGCTAAACATCACGTGTGAATTTAGCAATTCCATTGGAATGGAGCTGGGGACGGATAAGTGTGCGGTCCTCCATGTTGAAAGGGGAAGGGTTGCTAACTCTGAGGGCGTTGACTTATCTATGCCCGTCAACTTAAGGACCCTTTCCGAGGCTGAAACATACAGACACCTGGGTATGTCACAAAACATCGGTATCGATGAGACTGGTATGAAACAGTCAGTTTGCGACGTGTTTTATGCACGCTTGACCAAAGTGCTTAACAGCCTTTTGTCCGGTGTGAATGAGGCACACGCATATAACGGCTGGGTCATGCCTGTCCTCATGTATACCTTTGGCATACTCAGGTGGACTCAGACTGAACTTAACGCCCTGGATAGAAAAATCCGCACTACAATGACGTCCCATAGGATGCATCATCCGAGATCGTCGGTAATGAGGCTGTACTTGCCGCGGAAGCATGGTGGTCGTGGCTTCTTGAGCGCGCTCACCATGCATAATCGCGAAGTGTGCAGCCTCCGTGATTACTTCCTGGCGAGATCGGATGATCCATTCTATAAGGACGTCATTTCTTGTGATAAAGGACTTACCCCTCTATCCTTAGCCAACGAGCAATGGCAAGACCCGGCAGTGCAGAGCATTTCCGACCGGGAGACCGTATGGAAGGAGAAGGAGCTCCACGGGAGGTTCTACAAGGCTCTACATGAGCCTTTCGTAGACACAGTAGCCTCCCTCCACTGGCTACGCTTTGGTGATCTCTTCGGGGGAAACCGAGGGTTTTGTCTGTGCAATACAGGATCAGGTTATTAAGACCAACAACTATCGAAGATACATCCTAAAGGATGACACCGTCGACATCTGTCGAGCTTGTCGCCATCCCGGTAAGTCACTTAGGCATGTTATCTCCGGTTGTTCGGCGCTTTCTAACTCTGAGTACTTGCACAGGCACAACCTAGTAGCCAGAATTCTACACCAGAAGATCGCTCTAAAATACGGTCTCGTGGATCGGAAATTGCCGTATTACAAGTACTTGCCGGAAGCCGTGCTCGAAAATGATCGCGCCAGGCTCTATTGGGACCGGGCCATCATCACAGACAGGACTATTCTTGCGAATAAGCCTGATATTGTGCTGATGGACCGGGCACAGTCAAGGATATTTTTGGTCGACATTACCATTCCGTATGACGAGAACCTCGTGAAAGCCGAAACAGACAAGCAAACAAAATATCTGGACCTGGCTCACGAGGTGACCGACATGTGGGGTGGTCTGCCGACCGAAATTATTCCTGTAGTCGTCTCTGCAAACAGCCTAATCCCAGTCAGCCTCTCGGGTCATCTGAGCGGCTGGGATTACGTGGCGGACCGCTCCAGGTTCAAATGCAGAAGGCGGTGCTCCTCGATACCGCCCGCATCGTCCGCCGGTTTCTTTCCCTTTCCCCCTAACCCTCGGCCGTTTGGTCTCCCCTGCCGAGGGCCTCCATCTGGTTGGGCTTTTATTTATTTATGTACTTTTACATTTATTTTATGTTATTGATATTTATGTATATTTGTCTTTTCATTTTCATTTATAATTATATATTTATAGCACCCAACCAGATGAGAAAACTATATAGATACCCCAAAATAATAATAATAATATAGGCGTAGGGAAGTGACGACCCCATCGCCCGCTGACGTAACAGTTATGTGACAAAACTGCGACGTCGGCGCAGTCAGTCAGCATCCTGCCAAGAGGTGTGAGCGCCGTGCCTAGGCAAAATTGTAGATGCAAAGGTCCGTTTGTGCATATGACCCAACCACGAAACGGTGCCGGGCTTGGGCGTCTCCCGTTATTTGGCGCCCATAAAATGGATGATGGAAAAAACACAGAAAAGAACGCGCATAGGGCCGCTGCCTGGGGCTCGCCGGGGCGCGTCTGGAGCTGGCGCTGGACGCGGCAGCATGCGGGCCGCCAGCCGAGCGCGAGGAGCTGCACGATCACCTAGCAGCCCCTCGCATCCATCATCCACACCAGAAGGCTTGGTGTCGGCTGGGTCTTCTCGGACCCAGCAAGCGGCACCCGCCGCTGGTGGAGCACGTCGCATGCGTTGGACGAAATCCATGAACGAAAACGCATTGCGGGCGTACTATAGGGCGAAAGGGGAAGAAACTGTGGGAATAGCGTATAGGTCTCGGATGCATTGCTTTTTTGCTGAGCTGGAGCCGTCTATCCCCGTCACGGAACAAAACCTGGCAGACCGAGTTCGGTACATCATGCGCTCGAAAATATTTGATGATGCCGAACTCGAACGACTACGAACGGCTATTCCGTCGTCGAATGAATGGCTATGGCTGGAGATGCAGCTCCACATTCGACAGACCAGCATCCACACGTGGAAGCCGCCATGGATCTTCCAGTTGTGGTTGATTCGAACGACGATGAAATAGTCTCCCACGAACTAGAGCAAATGAGGAGTATATTGGAAGAGGCGATTTTGGAAACGCGCAGCACCCCTTTCGAAAATCGACCGCGACTTCCCCGCATACCCCTAAGCAAGCGAAATCGGGCTGTCGTGAGGGCTCTTAACCCAATGCTGGTGACCTATTTGGAAGCCAGCCGGGACCTTTTGCGAGACGGACTCGATTCTCTTTGGCGCCGCAGTGGCAGTTTGCCGTATTATTGGCGCCAAACTTCCCATGGCTGGACGCGCTACTACACAAAGTAGCGCCATCCCAGCCTGGAGAAATAGAATCGAGGACCGTATCGCAAAGGCAAGGGCCCTTATCGGCAGACTGACAAGCTTCAGGTCGGGTAATAATAGACCGAGGATTATGCGCACCGTTAGGATGGCGTTTGCTGGGACAAATATCAGTTTGTTCCAGCCGGATATCACGCAGAAACTAACGGAGCGCATAGACGACCTGAAGCAAAAGATCGCTGCTTAGGGGAAGCGGATTCTACGATTTTCCGAGAAGTCAAGGCGGTTCAACCAGAATCGTCTCTTCCAGAGTGATCAGAAGAGGCTCTATAAATCATTGGAGCGACCAAAGGTATGGAGCGGGCCAAGGACCGGATCAGGCTGACATTATCGCATTCTGGCGTGGCCTGTGGTCAGAGCCAGTAAACCACAGCGAGGGCCCTTGGATGGAAGTTGTGGCGAGCCAGGGTGCGAGTGTTGCGCCTATGGACCCCATCACCATAACGCCAGAAGACGTGGCTGAGGCGGTCCGTAGGGCCCCGAACTGAAAAAGTACGGGGCTCGACGGGCTGCATCATTACTGGCTGAAGGGGTTCATAGTGTGTCACGCTGTGCTCGCCCGACAGTTTCAAGAGGCTCTCGACCAGAAGTCACTCCCGAGCCTCTTCACTACTGGGATCACTCACTTGGTTCCTAAAGATCACACCACCCCCCACCACAGACCCGAAGATACCACAGACCCGAGCAAATACCGCCCCATCACGTGTCTACCCACCATATATAAGACACTGACATCCATTTTGAGCGCGAGAATCACTCGTCACCTGGAGCTAAACCAGGTGATGTCACGCGCTCAAAATGGATGTCGGGGCGGTGGTCGTGGAACTAAGGAACCACTCCTCATTGACGCGGTCATAGGCAAAGTGGTGAAACGCAACCGTCGGAACTTCTCTGCCGCCTGGATAGACTACAGAAAGGCGTTCGACTCGGTGCCCCATACATGGCTAAAGAGGGTCCTCGAGCTGTACAAGATTGACTGTACAGTTAGAGACTTCCTCGAGCAGTGTATGGGGCAGTGGAGTACGATCCTTTGTCATCTGGGCGAGCGGATGACGGCTGCGGAGAACCACATAAGGATAAGAAGGGGTATCTTACAGAGCGATTGTCTGAGTCCAATCTGGTTCTGCCTCTCTCTTAACCCTCTCAGTACCGTACTGGAGGGCTCCGGGAGGGGATTTCAGCTACGGAAAGGAGGGACAAAAGTGACCCACCTTTTCTATACGGATGACCTCAAGTTATTCGCCTCCAGTCGCTCCCATCTTATGGAACTGCTAAACATCACTTGTGAATTTAGCAGTTCCATTGGAATGGAGCTGGGGACGGATAAGTGTGCGGTCCTCCATGTTGAAAGGGGAAGGGTTGCTAACTCTGAGGGCATAGACTTGTCTATGCCCGTCAACTTAAGGACCCTTTCCGAGGCTGAAACATACCGATACCTGGGTATGTCACAGAACATCGGTATCGATGAGGCTGGTATGAAACAGTCAGTTTGCGACGTGTTTTATGCACGCTTGACCAAAGTGCTTAACAACCTTTTGTCCAGTGTGAATAAGTCACACGCATATAACTGCCGGGTCATGCCTGTCCTCATGTATACCTTTGGCATACTCAGGTGGACTCAGACTGAGCTTAACGCCCTGGATAGAAAAGTCCGCACTACCATGACGTCCCATAGGATGCATCATCCGAGATCGTCGGTAATGAGGCTGTACTTGCCGCGAAAGTATGGTGGGCGTGGCTTTCTGAGTGCGCTCACCATGCATAATCGCGAAGTGTGCAGTCTCCGTCAATACTTCTTGGCGAGATCGGATGATCCATTCTATAATGACGTCATTTCTAGTGATAAAGGGCTTACCCCTCTATCCTTAGCCAACGAGCAATGGCAGGACCCAGCAGTGCTTATCATTTCCGACCGGGAGACCGTATGGAAGGAGAAGGAGCTCCACGGGAGGTACTACAAGGCTCTACATGAGCCCTTCGTAGATACAGTCGCCTCCCTCAACTGGCTACGTTTCGGTGACCTCTTCTTAACCTTCCATCTGGTTGGGCTTTTATTTATTTATGTATTTTTGTATTTATTTTATTTTATTGATATTTATGTATATTTATCTTTTCATTTTCGTTTATAATTATATATTTATACATCCCAACCAGATAAGAAAACTATAAAAAAAAGTAAATGATGCAGTCAGTACAAAATCTTAAAAATGAATTTTTGTAGCATATGTTTCAAGTTCCCAAATAACAAATTCTCAACGCAAATAGATTTTACAATATCAATATAAATAAAACTTTAAAAAATAAAAGCCCAACCAGATGGAAGCCCTCGGCAGGGGGAGACCAAACGGCCAAGGGTTAGGGGGAAAGGGAAAGAAACCGGCGGACAATGCGGGAAGTATCAAGGAGCACCGCCTTCTGCATTTGAGCCCGGAGCGGTCCGTCACGGAGTCCCAGTCGCCTCAGATGACCAGAGAGGCTAACTGGGATTAGCCCATTCGCAGAGACGACTACAGGAATAATTTCGGCCGGCAGACCACCCCACATGTCGGTCACCTCGTGAGCCAGGTCCAGATATTTTGATTGATTATCTGTTTCGGCTCTCACGAGGTTCTCGTCATACGGGATGGTAATATCGACCAAAAATATCCTTGACTGTGCCCGGTCCATCAGCACAATATCAGGCTTATTCGCAAGAATAGTCCTGTCTGTGATGATGGCCCGGTCCCAGTAGAGCCTGACGCGGTGTGTGTGTTCTGAATGTGTTCATGAAAACGTAGAGTGCTATCGATAATAACTCCTAGATATTTTACTCTGTCAGCTTGACGTAGTTGTGTGCAGGTGTCTGCATTATTAAGTGGATTGGAACACGAGTGACTTACGATGGTATGTGGTAGAGATGATGTGGTTAACGTTTTGTTTTTTAATCTAAACGGGATATAACATGTTTTATCTATGTTCAATGTCAGAACGTTATTCCGAAGCCAATTTGAGACAGTGTTGTAGCCCAACTGGGCGTACGCATAGACTTCTTGCCATATACTTGCACTAAAAAGGAGGACAGTATCATCTGCAAAACTTATGATTCGCCCTTTAGGGAGTGTGAGCATACCCAGTTCGTTAATATATATAAGAAATAAGGTTGGAGAAAGTACGCTGCCCTGGGGCGTTCCATAGGTAGTTGTGCATTCGGCACTGACGAACTTATCGACCTGAACGCGCAAGTAGTCTTCAAAAAGTCGCAGTTGAGTGCCTCTAATTCCCATGCTCTCCATCCTACGTAAAAGTATGGGTAGAGAAACTGTGTCGAAAGCTTTGGAAAGATCTAAAAAAATGCCGAGAACTTTCTGCCCATTGTCCAAGTTTGTAACAATATAATTTATATGGTCATGAATCGCATCGGACGTAGATTTGCCTGACCTAAAACCATATTGTGAGGGCGATAGTAAGTTATTTTTTTCCAAATAGTTTACGAGCCTGTTGTTCATTATGCGTTCAAGTATTTTGGACAAGGCAGAGAGCACGGCTATAGGTCTATAGTTATCGGCACGATCTCTGTCCCCATCTTTATAAATCGGGTGTATAATCGACTTTTTTAAAAGCTTTTGGGAATTTTCCGGTTGTGGGAGCAAGATTGCAGATATATGTCAGGGGTGGGACAACTATATTAATATGCATTTTAAGGAGATAAGAAGATATTCCATCCCAACCCACAGCACAGTCGTTATGGAGAGATATTATTAACCTTGCAACCTCGTCCTCATCCGTTGGTAAGAATACCATGGACTGCGAGTTGTTGTTAAAAGCTTTTTTTGTTGACTCTGTCAGTCCACCCAATATCTTTTCCGCAAGATTTTTGCCCACGTTAGCGAAAAAAATCATTAACTAAATTAACAGATAGCTCCGGAGAAGATGATAGAGTTAATAAGTGATGAGATGAATTCTCTTTCTTTTTTCGCTCTGTTTGTTATGTTGTTTATTGCTCCCCAGAGTTGCTTAGGATTATTATTGGCCTTTTTTAATTCATTTTTTCATATTAAAGTTTAATTTTTTTTAACAACTTATTACAATAGTTTCTGTACCTAGTAAAAGATATTATTAAGACTTCGTTCGTAGTACAATCTGCCACTTTGCCTGGCGTATGTGGACTATGAGAAAGCCTTTGATTCCGTCGAAATTTGGGCGGTGCTACAGTCCCTTCAGCGGTGCCAAGTTGACTGTCGGTATATCGAAGTGCTGAAGTGTTTGTACAGTAGGGCTACGATGGCTATCCGAGTACAGAACCAGAGCTCGAAACCTATCCAACTGCAGAGAGGTGTAAGACAGGGTGACGTTATTTCCCCGAAACTCTTCGCCGCTGCATTGGAAGACGTTTTCAAGCTACTGGACTGGAAAGGATACGGTATTGACATCAATGGCGAGTACATCACTCACCTTCGATTTGCCGACGATATAGTCCTTATGGCAGAATCGCTGGAGGACTTAAGCACTATGCTCAATGACCTCAATAGTGCCTCCCAACGGATAGGTCTTAAGATGAACATGGACAAAACAAAGATCATGTTCAATGTCCATGTCACACCTATGCCGGTAGTTGTTGGGAGCACTATGCTCGAAGTTGTTGACGAATACGTTTACCTGGGACAAATAGTCCGACTAGGTAAGTCCAACTTCGACCGAGAGGTCAATCGA